ATAGGATAGGGCGAGAGAGAGAGGGAAACGGGAGAGTAAAGGTAAAGGGGGAGGCGGTAGAGATTGGGGGGAGGGATTAGTGACTACGACGACCGCTTGGTATCTGAGACGGAGTTCGGGGATGAGTCGGCGGTTGGTAAGGGGGAGGCTGAGATGACACGCGGGGATTCCGTCAGGGCAGCAATGGGGGCAGAGGTAGCGGACGTCGAAACCGAAGCCGAGTCAACGGAATTGGCGTTTGATGCAGTCGATTGAGGACCCGGCGTGCCTTCTCGCTGCTGCCTCCGTTCAGTCTCGGCGGCGTCGTTGGTCTCGCCGGCCTCGTCAGCGTCAGCATCAGCGTCGGTGGTTCTCCGGACCTGGCTCTCTAGGTCCTTGTCTTCGTCTGCGCTGTCAAACATCTCCTCGTCACCCATGTCGGTGAGCACCTCGGTGCCGTCTCCAAGCAGGATGATTCTGCCTGACCGGCCGGCGGGGCCAGCCGAGTCATAGTCTGAGCCTTCGTTGAACTGAGGACGTACGCCTGGGCCGCGGAAGCTGGCTGTTGGATCATAGAAAAGAGAAAGAAGAGAAAGCAGTTAGGAATATGTGTTGGGAAAGCTATGAAAGAGAAGAAGACATCGACGCAGTCTCACCGTATTCAGGGGGAGCACAGGGCCCGTCGCCGTTGGCCACGCGCTCGGCAATGGTGTTGTACCACTCCTCCTTGGTCTTGCCGTGCAGCAGGCCGACGATGACCATAGTCATGTTGTCGCAGCCGAGGCCGCCGGTTTCTGGGTCTGAGGAGAGACAGTTGTCCATCATGTTCTCGCAGATGCGATGTAGCTCCTGCTTGGCCGCAATGCCTCTTCTGACGAACTCTACCACCGCCTGCGACGACTGGCAGTCCCATATGCCTATACAGTGGTTGTTGTTAGTGGTAGCAAGAAGCGATGGTAGAAAGTGATGATGCGTACCGTCACATGCAATGACGAGAAACTCGTCGTCTTCGGTGACTTCATGGGTTGTAACGTCCGGGTTTGCGGTGACAATCTGCTGTTCGGGGGAGAGGTCTGCGGCACGCTTGAATTCAAAGTCGCCCAGGGCCCGGGAGAGGGCGAGGTTGCCATTGACTCTGCCAAAGTCGACGAACCCTCCTGCAGCACTTATCCGCGCTTTTTCTCCTGCAGACAGAGTGTTAGACGAGGAAGAGCAACCAAAGCAGAAATGGAGGCGTACCCTCGTTCTGTGGTTTGTGGTCAAAGGAGAGCGGTTTGGCCCGCCCCTTGACACCGAGGACAGATCTCGAGTCTCCTGCGTTGGCCTGCCAGATGTAAGTAGGAGTATGATACCCGTCAAGAGATATAAAGATGACGCACCACTCTGATCTTGTCTCTTGACACTATGGCCACGGACGCTGTGCAGCCAGAGATTTCATTCTCATACTGGGGGTCTATAAGACGTTAGTATACCCTAAATAAAGTAGTAGTAGGGAGATTGTGTGTGTGTGTGTGAGTGAAAAAGAGAAAGAAAAAAAACAGACCCTCCAAGATGGCCCGGTCAGTAGCGAGAAAGCCGTCCCGTAGAGCCTGCTCGATGTCCCCCCTGGCAAACGACTCCTGCCGGGCCACGATGCGGTGGACGTTCTCGCCCGCATACAGGGCCATCTGCTCCCCGCCATGGCCATCGTACACGCCAAAGAAGGACAACCGCTTGTCCGCCGGCGTCGGGCCACCCGCACCGTGGTGGCTGCTGCTGCTGCTGCTCCTGTCGAGGTCTGTGTATTTGGCCTGGAGGTCTAGCACGGCAGCATGGGCGTCTTCCATGGCGATTCTCCATCCCTGCATCGCGGAGAGGCCGTACACCACGCACTCATCTTCGCCTTCGTCGGACTCCTAGTAGCAGCGGGTTGTCAGCAGCAATTTCTCTCGATCCCGTGGCTATCTTCTCCCCCGACGGAGGGCAGCAAGAGGTACCTTCTTGACTATCGGCTGAGACAGCGTCTGTCCCATGGTTCCGGCAGCGAGTCGTGTCTATCCAGGCTGTATGGCAGGGTGCGCAAACTCTCATGCAGCGGCGGAGAGGCGGGGGGGAACCAGGTGTTTGGATAGGCAGAGGAAAAGGCAGGCAGCGGGTGTGTCTCGTCGTCTGGCCGTCCGCCCGTCAGTCGGTCTGTCAGTCGGTCTGTCTGTCTGCTGTCGGTCGTCTGGTCTGATCTGTCTGGCTGTGTCTTGTCTGTGTTTGTTCTGGCTGCAGGTTTGCCTGCTGGGTCGAGGGAGGTTAGTTTCGTTAGGGCTGAAGGAGGCTTTCAGGCAGCGAGCGACAGGGGGCCAGACAACTTAGCTGGTCCTTTTTTGGGGGAGGAATTCCTTCTCGCTCTCAGCCGGGGCTGCTCGTCTGGCCGTCGGCGTCTGCTGTCGCTGGCGGGCGTCTTCTTGCTGTCGTCGTCTCTGGTTCTTCTTCCTGTTGCTGCTGGCTTGCTTGGTTGTTCTTCGTCGGCTTTGCGGGGCGAAAAGTTGCAGGTCGAAGTTTTGGTGCGCCGTGAAAAGTTTGTTTTAGTTGGCGGCAGACAAGAAAAGTAGAGAGAGACAGTGGAATAAGCCATTTAAGATACGTTTAGTAGATACATTTAGTAGACAGTCATAGAGTAGATGGTCATTAGTAGTGTAGGAGATGGTCATTGAGTGTAATAGTAGTCATTTAGTGTAGAAGTCATTGACTATGTACGGAGTAGTCTAGATCTAGAGCTGACAGGGAGGCCGGCAAGACAAGATAGACAGTATAGCAGTAGTATAGACAGTAGTATAGAGACGAGGACTACAGATCCAGGGACAAGACCATGTTGATGCCTGTCCGGCCGGGCCCGTAGTAGTCCTGCACCGTCCGGGTCTCCTCGAAACCGCGCCGCTGATACAGCCGTCTCGCCGCCGCCCGCTGAGCGTCGACCCAGAGATGCACCGTCCGGCAGCCCTCGCGCCGCAGTTGCTCCTCGACGGCGGCCAGCAGCGAGCCCCCAATCCCTCGTCCGCGGTGGCCGGCCTCGACGCAGAGCTTGTGCAGCAGCGCCTTTTCCTTCATCCGGACGTAGAAGACGTATCCAGTGACGGTCGAAGACGCGGAAGAAGCGGAAGAAGCGTCAGACGCAGCAGAATCAGTAGAATCAGCGCGAGAGAAGAAGAGACGCGAGTTGGGCTTCCGGCAGAGGCTGAGGTCGAGCGTCATGGCCTCCGAGGGGGGAAAAGTGCGGCGTTCGATGCGGGCGACCTGGGCGAGCACGGCGGCGGCGGCATCCTGGCTGAGGCTGCGCAGGTCGAGGACTCTCGCCTCCTGGTCTGCATCCTGTCTTTCTCTCCTTTCTCTTCCTCTGGCGTCGTCGGTGGCCATCGCAGGCTGAGAGAGAAAGCAGACGAAGCGAAGATGAAGTTGAAGTCGAAGATAGATAGAGAGAAGATGACTAAGCGGGGATGATGTTGACGCGAAGAGATTAAAGACTGAAGAAGATAGAAGATAGAAAAGGCAGAAGATAGAAAAGATAGAAGAGAAGAAGAAGAGAAGACCTGCTAGAGACGAAAGAGAGAAGAAGAGAGATGCCGCCGCAGGACGACAAGAGACAGGCGGCGCGGGAAGTCATCGACATCCTGCATGAGATCTCGACGCTGCTGGTAAGAGATGACCCTCCAGACAGACGACAGACAGAGAGACAGACAGGAGACAGACAGAGAAGAGAGACTGATATTATGTAGAATACGCATCTGGACCGGACGGAGCTGTCTCTCTGCGTCTCGCTGATAGAAAACGGAGTCAACCCGGAGGCGCTGGCAGTGAGTCTTCCCCTTTACAACTACAGTCGAGCGTTGACTGACCTGCTAGAATGTGATCAAGGAGCTCAGGAGAGTCGACGGAGACGACGAGCGGTAGTCGACAGGATGCCCGACACGATACAATGCGTACTTGATACAATGCTATGTTTGAGACTGCTGGACTGTGGTATTTACAAGGACATGGGAAACTAGATGTTGATATGGCTACCTGCTATGTACTCGTCTTCTCGGCCTTCTTCGCAGCATCCTCGCCCTTGACCTCCTTTGCCTTGCTCTCCCGCTCGTCATCGCTGTCTCCCAGGCTGAACGGGTCGTTGTCTGCCACGGGAGACGGCTCCACGGTCGACAGCGGCTGCCACTTGCTCGACTTGTTAGCCGTGCTGCGGGAGCCGGCACTGGTATTCGCGTTATTGTTGGCAGTGCCGCTGGTGCTGTTGTTGTTGTTGTTGATGATGTTGCTGCTGGTGTTGGCAGAGAACGAGTCCTGGATCTCTTCGGGCGGGCCCTCTTGGAAGGATACCTTGCGTCGGTCGGGCGAGGCAGAGGCGCTCTTGCTCTTGAAGAGGTCCGGGTTGGCCTGCGGGCGTGGAGGCCGAGGCGGAGGCACTACCATAACCCCTTATTAGCACACACCTAAACATCCTTTTTCTTTCTTTCTTCTTCTTCTTCTTTTTTTTCATGGAATATAATGTATAAAAAGATACATGTACGTACCCTCGTTGTCTCGTAGCTCAAGAGAGGAAAAGTCGTCGCCCAGGACATGCGGATCGGCATCGTATCTCTCGCGGTCCACGCTGCGGCGGTTCGGGTAGCCGTACTGCTGCTGATGCTGCTGCTGCTGTCTCTGCCCATACTGTCTCTGGCTGTGGCCGTACTGCGCGTCCTCGTCAGACTCCTCCCCATCAAGCCGTCTCTTGAAGTTCTCCACCCAGCTGTTCACCCGCGACTGCGTCTCCAGGAACCCCTTGCGGATATTCTCCTTGATAATCGGCAGGTCGTCTATCCCAATATCCATCAACATCAACATCAGCAAAATAATAATTTTCCTAAAAAAAAAGTCATACGCACCGTCAAGGAAGCTGTGTTCCTTATCGTAGAGCTCGTTCGGCTTCAGCCCCTGGCCCCTCTGCCCCGACGCCGGGCCGTGGTCCCATATCGACGACGACGGCTGCTGCTGGTACCCTCGTCTCTGGTCCGCGCCACTGTAGTGCTCGGCCAGCTGGCGCGCATACCGTTCGTCGTCCTCCAGCTGGCTCTGCGTCGTCGACGTAGCTACCCCGCCAGCGCTCGGTCGAGGGGGCACTGCCGGCCGTACTTCCTCCTGTGCATCCGGATCAGACATGCCTGCGCGCACCACTAGTTAGCATCCCGTCTCTCTCCCACTCTCTCTCTCTCTCCCGCAGTTTCTATATCGGAGCCCCTACCCAGCAATGCATTGAATGCCCGCTCGACGTTTCCATCACTCGCTACCACCACCGCTTTTATCACAGGCGCGTCGATGTTGGGGAACGCCTCCTTGAGGTCGTCTATTATCCTCTGGTACGGATTCGGTGCTCGTGGCTGTCCCTGGCTCTGGCTCTGGTTCTGCATGTTCGCGGCCAGGTTGAGCTGCGAAGACGACCGGCTGGTGGTGTTGGCGGATGTCAGGCCCGTCTCCTGCGGCTCGTCGTCGAAGTCCAGCGGGCGAGCGGTCGTCGGCGACTCAGGGTTCAGGCCGGTGGCTTTCTTCGGAGTGCTTGTCTAGACGCAGCCAGCTCGTCAGTATTCCGGTCTTCTATCTCTTCTTCGTCCAGGGAAGTCTGGTAGCTGTAAGTAAATATGCTGCCTGGTAGTTACGCACTGCTCGGTCTGTCTCTGCCATGCTGGCTGGCTGTCACTTTGCGGCTGGTCCTGTATCACACTCGGTGTCCCAGTAAGTCAAACAATATCACTCTCCGTCTCGACTCTCCAGCTATCAAATATCGAGTTTCACTCCTTCTTCGTCTTCTCTTCGCTTCTGCTTGTTCGTCTTCTTCTTCTCTTCTGGTGTTTTTTTCTACTAAGTCAAACTTGTGACGCCATCAGATTGCTTACGTCAGCGAATATCACTCGATCGACCCCGAGATCGCTTGAAAGACATCTACATCTACATCTACATCTACATCTCCTGGCTGCTGCGGACGAGGATAGGATACGATCAGCCATGTCTAGGACGATATAGACACTTGGATACAGGCGACATGCCAGCTCCTGCTTGCTCGACCTGCGATGGACGCATTTGATACCCCCGGGCAGTTCGTGGCTGCGCTGTACAAGCCCACAGAGCTGCTGCCCATAGCAAGACACAGACAGAGCTTGCTCTATGCCATTGAAAAATACCCCGTCGTTGTCCTCGTCGGTGAGACTGGCAGCGGAAAGACCACCCAGCTGCCGCAGTTCCTCGACCAGGCCGGATGGTGCAGCGGCGGAAAGAAGATTGCCATCACCCAGGTGAGTCTCTTCTGTTTAACACACAACTACCAAACAGATATGCTAACAAAGATACGATGTATAGCCCCGTCGAGTTGCAGTGACGTCGGTTGCAGCTCGCGTGGCAGGAGAAACAGGATGTCAGCTCGGTCAAAAGGTCGGGTACTCCATCAGGTTTGAGGATGTCACTTCGGCCTCGACACGCATCAAGTTCGTGACGGATGGATTGCTGTTGCGAGAAGCACTCGTGGACCCATTGTTGTCTCGGTACTCTGTCATTATGGTCGACGAGGCGCATGAGCGCTCAGTCAGTACGGATGTGCTGCTCGGTGTACTCAAGAAGATCAGGAAGCGAAGGCCAGAACTACGCATCGTCGTCAGCAGCGCCACGCTCAAAGCCGAAGACTATATGCAGTTCTTTGCAGGCCATGATGCCACCGAAGACAACGAAACTGCAAGAATTATCACTCTAGACGGGAAAATGTACCCCGTTGACTGCCTCTACCTAGAGTCCCCTGCAGAAGACTACGTCGAGCGCGCCATAAAGACCGTCTTCGATATCCATGCCACCGAACCCGAGGGAGACATACTCCTTTTTCTCACCGGTAGAGAAGAAATCGTATCTGCCACCCAGCAGATATCAGAACAGGCTGCGCTTTTGCCCCAAAAGGCACAAGCACTTCTCCCAGTGCCTCTTTATGCCGGTCTAACAGCCGACCAGCAACTCTCTGCCTTTGAACCTGCTCCCGAAAACACTCGCAAAGTCATCGTCTCTACCAACGTGGCCGAAGCATCAGTCACCATCGAAGGCATCGTATACGTTGTCGACTGCGGCTTTTCCAAACTGCGAGCCTACGATCCATCTACCGGTATCGAAAAACTAACTACTGTACCCATCTCAAGGGCTTCAGCCACACAACGGGCCGGCCGTGCAGGAAGAACCCGCCCAGGCAAATGCTTCCGACTATACACCGAACAATCCTTCCTTTCCCTGCCGCAGGAGACAACCCCTGAAATACAGCGCGCAAACCTGGCCCCCATCATACTTCAGCTTAAATCCCTAGGTATCGACAATGTCGTTAGATTCGACTATATATCCTCCCCACCCTCGGAACTTTTCGTCAGAGCATTCCAGCTTCTCTCCTCCCTAGGCGCCGTAGACGATTATGCCAAACTCACCAAACCGCTCGGCATCCAAATGGCCGAGTTACCCGTCAACCCCATGATGGCCAAAGTGCTTCTCAGTTCGACCAAATTCGGCTGTCTGGATGAAGTACTGTCCATAGCTGCCATGACCACTCTGCAGGATAACATCTGGTTCAACCAGGATGAGAAAAGAGGCATATCGCCGTCCATCCGCCAATTTGCTGTCGAAGAAGGAGACCACTTGACGTATCTCAACATCTACCAGGCCTTCGTCACCAAGGGGAGAAAGGAAGCCAAATGGTGCAGGGATCATTCCCTCATTCATAAATCCATGATGAAGGCAGTTAGTATTCGGGTCCAGCTTGAAAACCATCTAAAGCGTTTTGGAATCGATATGGCTAGAAGACAGGCTGCTACCACCGAGCAAATCCAACGGTGTCTCACGACGGGTTTCTTCGCTCATGCAGCTAAAATGCAGCCCGACGGGACGTTTAGGAGCATTACAGGTGGGCTAACTTTACATGCTCACCCGAGCTCACTGATGTTTGTAAGTTTTTCTTTTATCCTGCTTCGGCGACGTTGGACTTGCGAATACTGACTTGACTGGCAGAACCGAAAAGCTGAATGGGTTATTTTCAATGAGATATTGCAAACGGGAACAAAAACATTTATTAGAGACGTCACTAAGATAGAGAAGGCCTGGTTATTAGAATATGCGCCGGAGTATTATGAGGTTAAAAAGTAGACTTGAATTAATGCCGTTCATCATATGTACCCTGTGGATGATCAAGGTTCCATGTAAGGATACCATAGATATATAGAACAGCATTATTTCCTAATGAAAGTGATCTATCTCTATAATAGCTTGTTTCTTGTCAAAAGTGGTGGTTGTTGTTGAACATTGCGGATATTTGGTTATTTATTGCGGAGAAATTAAATATTGTTGCTAAATTGGCCAAAACCATCACTCTTGCATTTCAAACATCCCACAAGCACCACCAACCCGTTCAAACATATACCCTACCGTGTCAACAGTATTTACACGCGTATCAAGACGATCAAGATGCCTCATCATCACCATCATGGCGATGACCATGACTGCCACGGTGAAGCCGGCCATGATCACAGCAATGATATCACCCCCGCCCTGCAGTCCCTCCTCTACAAGCAGGTTGACTTCGACAAGATCGTGACCATGAACGAATCTGAGCCGAAGGCTGGTGCCGCCATAGTCAAGAAGACATGGGATCAACGACTAGATGAGGAGCCTCAGCTTGAAAGTGATGCAGATGAACAGCTGCTCATGCATGTTCCGTTAGTGATACCCCCAGCATACCCATTATACAAAATACACTCTCCAGACAATATCCACTACGAAGAAAGAGTATTCCAGAGCCAAACTCGATGCTGACTTGGTATAGATTTACGGGACAAGTAAAGTTACATTCAGTCCTGCTGTACGCTGCGCCGTCCCCTTCGGCTCCAAACACAGTCAAGCTATTTAGAAACAGACCCGACATGGACTTCTCCACTGCTTCAGACCTTGCACCTACTCAGACCATTTCTGTCCCCCAATCCCTGACTGGTTCTCAGGCAGATGTGATAGAAATGCCACTGAACAGAGCACTCTGGAACGGAACCACCTCAATCACGCTATTTTTTGAAGATAACTGGAGTCACGGTGAGGAGGACGTTACGAAAGTTGGATATGTGGGCTTCAAGGGCGATTTTTTGGCTTTGAATAAGGAGCCTATTACTTTCCTGTACGAAGCTGCTGCGAACCCGAAGGACCATACTGTGATACAGGGGGTTGATGGAGTTGGCAAGACCATCGGCACTGGAAAGTGATTGGAAATTCTGTCTTCAGACGATATTCAGCGATCTTCTCATGTTAATGACTCAAAACGCTAGACTTTTGCAGGCCTCCTTAGCTAAAGCAAATTCAGATGAAATCTACAATTTCCATTTCGCCCTTTGTCTAAATTCCTGCAGGTGTCTCGACTGTATATATACATATACACATATAGTTAGAGAGTGCGTCAGATGCAGCCCAACAATGCAGAGAGTCCTGAAACTCCGGCAGATGTCGCTATGCAAGTCTAAGGTTAATAAAGTGAAAGAAATATCCTCCCAACAGCCACCTTGCCGCTACTCCGCAATAGGTTCTCGAACTCTAGCAGGAGCTCTTGCAGGTTCCGCTTCCTGCGCTTGTTTTGCCTCATTCTCCAGCGTTGTTGTCGGCGCACTAGGAAGCTTCACTCTGTTTGTTACTTGAAGCTCAAGCTTCTCGAGTTCATCCTCTACCTCCTCTTCGTCCTGGTTGGATATTTGCCCCTTAAGGAGCTGAGTGATTTCCTACAGGCATCCGTTAGAATTCAAGCGGTATAAAAGCCAACTACGTATCGTTGGTCTTACCTCTTGATAAGCTCTTGCTTCCTCTGTTTCACCCATGAGTTTCTCAACACCTTCGATACCGCCCATCTCACGATGTATAGCCTGCAATACCTTGTTGCCCTGACTCAAACCAAACAGGATATCCTTCTGTACCAACGCAAACTCTACGCTACCAGTCAACTTCTCCAACTGCTCAAGCTGTAGATCGGTTTTTTCCAGTAGAGACTGCTGGTATTTCTTCCTTCGTAGAGCTAATAATGCCCGGGGACGGTCGTTCCGCGCAAGACATTGCTTGGCGATCTCAGTCTCACGATCGGTAAGAACAGTTATCCGCTTCTGATACTGATGCAGCTTGTCCCGTTGGTTCTTCAGGTCGAGTATGGCTCTGGGTTTAGCTCCAGTTAGTCAAGTCCGTTCATGAGGGCCTGCGATGACGTTCGGCAGCGCAAGGCAGAAACGTACTTATCTTGTGCAGAAATTTTATGTGTGCTCCCGGTGTTCCCCATATTTGTTATATCCGTTCCTCTGTACCCAGGATAGCCCTGACATCCTCTATCATTGCAGGTTACAGCTTTGTCCTCGCCGTCGTCGAAGTTGTCAACGTCGCTCAAATCGCTGCAGGTGACTTTCTGGTCAAAGCGCGAGCTTATCGATAAGCACTTAAAGTTTGAGTTCTTCTGCGGGAAAAGTAAAACGCCGAAAGCTTAAATTTATTTTTTTATTTTTATCTTTTTTTTTTTCTTTTGGTGATTTAATTATTTGAAAGACGAAGTTGTGGATGGATGCGAGGGTATTAGACGGTGCTGGGAATTGATAATGGCTCCGAGGCACCGTGGAAACAAGTCGACAAGCCTGGGACATGTTCTCGATAAA